AAAAAAAAAAAAAAAATCAGTGCAAAGCAGGGGAACATTACAAATAAGACATACACTGCAAGCATTTTATTTTTGCCTTAAAATATTAAAATATGCACTTGGCCCCTCCAGCAGTGTTTTGATGCAGGACTGAGGCCTTCGGGGCGTGTGCACCCCAGTAGCTCCGCACTGACCTCCTTCTATAAACCACCCAAAGCGCATCATCTACGACGTAAAGTCTGTTTCCCTAAGCGGAAGAGAAACTCGGACCCTCAGCAGCCATCTGAGCTCAGAACCCTTCCAGCCTGTGCCGCAATTGTCCCACCCGTTCCAAACTGGTCAGAAATTCTTTGTAGCCACTTGCCTGTATCCCGTGTTCCCAAAGCATGCACTCCAAGTCTCTAGAAATAGTATCCTCTTGGGTTCATGCTCCTATTCCGCGGGTTCATGCAGTGGCTCGGTGAGTTCCATGTGTGATAGCAGCAAGTCGAACAGCCAGGGCGGGTTGGGGACCAGCCTCCATCGGTCACCCTTGCTAACCAGGAGAGCCGGAGCTGGCTCCTCCCTGGAGTGCTCTGGTCTCCAAGCTAGGCTACTTGTTCAGGGGCCCCCCACCCAGAGCAACGCCCGCCCTCCCGCTTTCTCGGGCACCCCTTTCCCGACGGGCGAGGGCCACCCTCTCATGTCACGAGGACGCCAGCTTTTGGTAGACCGTGCCCAGTGCTCATTCACGGCCGGGCGCCAAGGAGGGGCCGCTGGGAGCCTGCGAGAGGGAGGTGGGCGTTTCGGGCACGAGATGTCCGAGCAGGTCACCAGCCTCTCTGAGCCTGCTGTCCGAAGGAAGCGGGGCTGTGCCCAACAGCTCAGGTTCCGCACCCCTGCAGCAGGGTCACTCCTCACCACAGAGGGGGCTCCTCATCATGGTCAGATGGGGAGGAGGGGGGAGTGCTGCACTGCAAAAGAGGGACACGGCAATTGACTGAGAAGGAAAGGGGTGGACGTAGCAGATGAACCCCAATAACCTCCATCCTCCCCCTACCAGGCAGGGCATGTTTTATCTGCAGCCTCGGACTCTGGTCTCACCTGTGCTGCGTTTGGGGTTTAGGCTCGCAGCGACATTTCTGCCCCCGGCTGTATCGGGGCTGATGGGGACTCTGACCACAGGGCCTTTGCTTCGGTGCAGCAGC